TGTTTCTAGGGCAAAATTTGAGCTTATTCGTGAATCGTGATCGCGCGCTGGCGGCGCTGCGCGCGTGCCATCGCCGCCAAGAGTTCGCAACTTCGCGGTTCAAGAATGGCTTTCCACGGCTTTAGAAATAGACTTACGGCTTGAAAATTCATTATTTCGCGGCTCAAAAAATCCAGTCGCGGCTCACAGAGTAGATCTTTTCCTGACTTGTGTCGGAATTAGTTTTTATGTGTCTAAAATCATCTCTTAAATCAATCATCTATTAATTTATTTACCACTTAAAATCAGCAAATACAAGTATACTTAAAGGATTCTTAATATATTCAGACTTATTTAAAAGTCTCAAACCATAATATTCTTTTTACACAAACAGTTTATCACTATTTAGTAAAGCAAGGTCAACTATCAACTTTAATATGTGTTTCGATGTTCTCACTAGTTGACTTGGACTTTCAGCGACTGCTACATTTTCAGTAGCGGTAGCATCGCTACATTTAAGTAGCGATATGAGGTTTTGCTGCTACAGTGCTACCGCCGCTACCACTATATTTATAGATAAAGCCTTTAGATTTTACTTAATAGCATCAAATATTATTTAAAAACCAGCATGATACATACATAATATAAATTACTGAATAAAACTGTATAAAAGATTTCAGTGTAATGTCAACCTCAGCTTGTTACTAGTGTCAACATGTTAGTTGTTACCAGAGGTGGGCAGGAGCATGCTACATGTAGCGGCCACTACTAGCGGGCGCTACATTTTCAGTATCGGTAGCGGCACTACAATCTAGTGGGTGTAGCGGTAGCGGTAGTGCCTGCTATATTTAGAGCATGTAGCAGTAGCAGTAGGCCGGTAGCGGCTGCTACATTTCAAAGTAGCGCTGCCCAGCTCTGCCTGCAACGTATTAATATATTGGTTCCAATACTCACTCTTCTAGCCTTTTTCTGGCACATGGCAGCACAGCACAATGAGCACATGCACAGTGCATGTTCTACTAGCCTACTCAAAGAACTGTATGCATTTGTATAGCCCACTATATAAATGTAATCATCACAACCAGCCTATATATGCATGTTTTACCAGCCCTTCCCTTTCACACTGTTTTTAACTTGTTTCAGCACATTAAGCCTATTTTAAGAATGGTAGTTTCAAGTTTGAAAGTAAATTTGATGTTTATTCAATGTTTGAATTAATCATCGAATTGGCTATTAATTAGCATTTTTAAGTTGCTAAGTAGTAAGTACTTTTAGCTATGCAAAATTTTCTTAACAAAAGAAAGAATGAAATAAATTGCTTGCCAAATATACTTTGATTGACTTTTAATTGAATGACATTAGACTGACCAGAAAATAAGGTTATCATAATATTCAGCACAAAAAATCATATTAATGAAGTACTAATACAATTTTATTAAATTTTGCTGTTTTTCAGGGCCTCAGAATCAGATATGGCCATTTCACTCGCAAATCGGTGTGCATGGCAACTCAAAATCAGAAACTTTTGTGCAGGATATCATAATTTGAGTGCTCAGGTCTCTTTTCTTGGGTGTTTTCAAAAGCAAATTAAAAGCTTTCATACCAAGAGTCATGACTCTCAAAAGGCGGCTAAGGATGAAAATGATGCTAAAACTCTGTCAGGAGAGTTTTACAATGAGGAGCAACTGCAAATACAAGAAACTGTCAAAAGAGTGAGATTGTATGCTAAGTCTAAGATTAATAATAACTCTTCTAGGAGTTAATAAGTTTGCTCATTTTGTTAAGTGTTGATAGTATGGCAACTATATAATCTTGAAATAGTTTGATTAACATAGGTATTAGCTGCTGAAAGACATGCCTCTTACCTATCATATATATGCTGGCATTATCATTATGCCCTCTAATCCTGATGGAATGATCACTCAGCAAGCAATTTTTGTTCATTAATTCTTATCATGTGCTTAGAAAAAGTTTACAGTTGTTGATCACTGCCTTCCAGAAAATATATTGTGGATTTGTTTCAAATATTTGATATTGATGTTGTAAATTGCACTTGCTAAATTTAAAATTTATATCCGAGTATCTTGCCTCTGATTACTATACCATTAAATAGGTACCATACAGCTCTAGTTATAAGTGTCTACAATCACCATGGATTTTATAGTGCACATAATGTTCATTTTACTGTTACTTTTAATAATGTTGATTGTAATCAATTGTATTGACAAATAATCATGGGGAATTCACCTTGTCTTCTGATTTCAGATAATTGAAGCAGACATCAATCCATATGTGGATGAATGGGAAAAAGCTGGCATTTTTCCGGCTCATGAAGTTTTTCGGAAGCTTGGCCAAGCTGGCCTGTTGGGCATCAACAAACCTCAAGGCAAAGTGAAAATCCAGCATTGAATGTTGTTAGTAGGATATTTGCCTGCTAATAAAATGAATTGAGGATAAATTAGATATGACAAGTGAATCAATATGTTATAAAAGTTCTGCTTCACTGTAGTAATTTAAAGCTTAAATGTCCTGAAATTCAAAATATAGTTCATCAAAATCTCATCTATGTGAATGCTATTTATATCTTTTCGAGGGTGTCAATCAAATAAATTTTGGATATTAAATTCACTTGCATAGCAATTTAATCACTAGCTTTGTTTACATGATTAATAGCTTTTATAATTCTTGAACCAAAGTATTTTCTATGACCAATTTAGTGATGTATACAGTGCATGATGATGTGTAGATCTAGTATGCCATTATAAAACCCTTATAATAGTGGAAAAAAAATTTCTATATCAAGTTTTAAACTGTGATTTCTTATCAAATTCTAAATGTTTCTTGGTTTTAATTTTACCTGCTCTAATTTGTTATTATTAGTTATTTTGCGTGATATTAATGTTCATTAATATATCAGAGTATGGAGGTTTGGGACTGAGCTACAAGTACAACATGGCTTTCATTGAAGCTCTTGGCAATATAAACTGTGGTGGCATCCCTATGGCAATTACTGTTCAGACAGACATGGCTACACCTGCCTTGACATGGTGTGATTTTATTATTTTTATTGAAATTTCCTTCAATTCCTTATCCAAGTTCTGACCTATTCCAACTATTGAGAAATGCACAAAGGAAATGCATTCAATTATCTAACCAATTGGCCAGACATATTTTTGTTCCAATCAACAATGTTATTGAGTATTTCAGCTTCTTACTAAATGAACAGGCATTGGTCTCAATTTAAAACTCTCCAAATGGCATCTATAATTGCAAATAATTTTGTTTGAAAAAATTCAGCATTGATTGTCTTGAATCTATTTGCATATTTTTTGTGTTATATTTATTATTGTAAGTATTATGTCCTAATTCTTACACATCTTAGCATTAGCATTCTATCTTTTAATGTAAATTCATGATATATAAGATTTTTTATATAAATTTTATACATTTAAAGCTTAAAGAGGTTTATTGTTTGCAGATCTTGTTGAAGGTCAGGACTGGCTATACTGTTTATAAGCTCCTTATATCTCTGTTGAAATAAATTTTCCTATAATATAATAATGAAATATATATTATCATATAATTATATATATGATAATAATAACTATTAATTGCAGGTTTGGCAGCGAGAAATTGAAGCAAGAGTTTCTTGTGCCGAGCATCAGTGGGGAGTTTGTGGCATGCATCGGCGTGAGCGAGCCTCATGCTGGCTCTGATGTTGCAAGTAAGCACATTTTTGCTTTGGAGTTTTACAAATTTACTTTCTTATGATGAATGATCTCTCATGTATTTGCTTCTGACTTTTATTGTTTATCTTCATTTAATTAATCAAATCTGAGCTGACTTTCAAAGTAGGATTTATTGAGATTTTATTTGAATATATTGAAACATTCTTTTAGTAATGTCAAGAATTATCAACAAAGTAATAATATCACTTGTAAGGCATCAAGACGACAGCAAAGCGTGTTGGTGATGACCTCATCATCAACGGCTCAAAGATGTGGATCACGAACGGCACTCAGGCAGACTGGATGTGCTGCTTAGCCAACACATCCACTGACAAGAAACCACATCTCAACAAGAGCCTCATTTGTCTGCCTCTCAAGACTCCTGGTTTGTCTGATTAGAATAAGAAAAAAAATCGAATAGAAGTAGTCAAAAGTAAGTAGTTTTCTATTATGTCATATATTTTTAAGTTGGACACTCGAAGTGATTACTCTATCAGTTTTACATTACGTTCAGGTTCAGGTTCAAGATATCGGTATTCATTACTTATCGTTTTGTCAGGTGGTTGCCGAGTGGCGCTTGATATGCACGTATGAAAAAGTTCTCTTTGGAAAGGTTATGGCAAAAATAGTACAAAGAGAGGGTTGTAATGAAACACTGATACATTTCATATTAAATTGGAAAATTCAAGTTCCCATCCTACGCTAACAAAAATCTCTAGTACTTGAAAAGGGTAATCTGAACACAATCAAAAGTCCAAAACCCATCAGTTTACATCATTGAAATCATCTAATGTTACCGGAAAAATGCCGATGCATTGCAGTTCCGTTGAGCCGTATGACTGTTGTATACGACTGTAACTTACACACACGTTTGCGGCCGTATGATCAGCGGCCGTACCGCTGCTGTATTCTCGCGTCCGCTTTCACATTTGCTCTTTCTTCATGGCTGTATTTCTCGCGCTATAGTGATGTCTCGCGGCTGGTCTAACCGTAGAGTTTTTGATGACCGTACTTTGGAATAGTGGTGCTCGTCTTCATAGTCGATGAAAATACTCCAACTCCGTTGCCGTACTGCGGTCGAAGATGACTGTGACCGTACCGCTTCTTCTGATGAAAATAGTGACCGTATCGTATTGATGACCGTACCGATGATAATTCTTTGTGTAGATCTCGAAAACTTAAATCTTCTGATGACGTGGGCCGCGGCCGTTACGTCCGCTGACTGCAGACCGTGCTTGCGTGACGGTCACCTACGTAGAACAACCTTTGGCGCGAATTTTAAGGTCCTTATATACGCTAGTGTCGCGCACAGTTAAGCATATACCCTCGAAGTGACGCCACATTCCTCGAATGGAATTTCCCTCGCGCTGAGCTCGCCAACGTTCAATGTAAACTAAATCCTTCCCACGGTCTCGAAACAACCGCGCCTTACACACTTGCTATATCGCTTCGACCCGCATTCTTAGCATTCGCAACACCTACGCATAATACATGTTTAATATTACCTACTTTATTCATGTCTTCCAAGATTATTTGTCTTGAATGCAATGAAAAATTTAGGTGCCAAGCCTCTCTTTCTTTTAATTTGATTAATTTTCAAGTGTTTTAGTTTTTCAAGAATATTTCTGTCCAAACTCCAATAAAGTTCATTTCTTTCACTACTGTTACCCAGTCAACTGTGATGTAGTTTTATGTGTTCAACTTCCAACAAATGAATAAGTTTGGTATAATAGTACCGGTAATAATGTATTTTTGAAGATCTAGAAATAATATGAGTAAATGAGTACGTACAAATGTAAAAAAAATTTTATTAGTTGTAATAGTAATAATAGTACGATAAATAAATTTGCCGCAGGCGTACACGTTGCTCGCAAGATCAGCAAGCTGGGCATGCACAGCTCTGACACTGNATCCACATCACCAATAAACCAAACACAATCATCACAGGAGACATTAACGCCCACCACAACTCCTGGCACTCACCTTACAATGATCACAGAGGCATACTAATAGAAGACATCATACAGAATCTGTCTCTTATACACATCTAGATGTGTATAAGAGACAGCTCTGTATCTCATTACTTCGAACTTGGTGCCGTTGTACTGCATATTGTTCACTAAGGCCCAATTGTAGATTGTCGTAAAGTCATTCTGTAACCTCTCGCAGTCTAGGTCATCTGTGATCTTCATCAGCACTCTTGTGTCGTTCGCAAATGACGATGTAGATGCGTGGGTAAGTTTCGAGTTGATATCAGCAATATGGATGAGGAGCAGGATCGGTCCAAGCACTGAGCCCTGTGTAACTCCGCTTTCCACCCTCCTTCTCTCCTTTTCGAGTTTCCAATTGCGACAGTTTGTACTCTATATGTAAGGAAATTGTCGATTCACCCTAACAGGCTTCATCCTACCGCCAACAGCCTCAGCTTTCTAAAGAGCACCATGCAGGTTCTTGATCCTTTTATCTGTTGAAAACTAAATGCAGTAGATGAAGTACTAGAAATACTAACAAGATGAGATTTCATAAAACATTCCCAAATTTCGAAATGCTTTACACATTATGTACTGACATATACACCTGCTTTTACAGTTCCAAATAGAGCGTCTGTCAGGCAAGCTATGCTACCTGCAGTTGTTGCAGAGGCTCATATGCATTCTTGTACACAGCGAGCGGTGAGATGATGCGGGATGATGTACGATGGTGCAGGATTATTTATTGTGGTGCAGGGTAATGCACTCATGTTTAGGATGGGTAGTGAGATTATCGACATGTGGCGCGTTGTAACTCAAATTATGATTGAAATTGCGGTGCTATATACGAGTCATGTTTTTTAAGTAAGAACCGTTTTGCGATTCCGCCGCCGCAGCGCTACGGTCGGCGTTCCGCGCATGCGCGCTGGTTACTTACATCTCTTGTCTACGCACTGATGCCATAGCAGTCTGATTCTTCATTATATACGTTGTTTACTTAGTGTTTAAGAGCCTCCGACAATCGTGAGCCCCGCTGAATGTGAAGTACGGGCTGTTATACGATTTCTTGGGGCTAAAGGCGTAAAACTGAACAATATTCATCGTGAGATCGTTGAAGTTTATGGGCAAAACATTATAAGTGATGAAATGGTAAGGAAATGGGCGAGAGCATTTAGCGCTGCTCCAAATGTTACCGGTCTGCTTTTGATTGGAGTGCGTCCCTTTACGTTACCAAATTGACAATCACCAAATCCCCGCCTCCCGAAAGGGAGGCCCGAAGCCTGTTTTTTGGCCGGGCCGGCGCACGGACCCCCGTGTGTTGCTGCGGTGTTGCTGCTAAGATCGGGGATGTTGAAGCTAACCCGGGACCGGTGTTGGTGTGTCAGATCTGCGGCGGCCGAATCACGAAACGACAGACGTCTTTCCGACGTAATTCACAATCATTACACTGGGTTCACAAAAAAATGCACCACAATCAAAATAGCAGACTACAGCAACAACTGGACCTGCAGTCTTCACACAGCACTTCTAACTACCACAAACCCACATATTCAACCAAACATACCTCAGCAAAACAACTCAGCACAACCTCCCCAACGACCCACTCAAAAACTAGTCATTAGTTACACCAAACCCTTCAAACCAAAACCAACCACAACAACTCCAACCAAAAAACAGGGAAATAGCCGAAACACCCTCAAAGTTCTCCAAATAGACATAAACACACTATCAAACAAAATAGATGAACTAGCCCTACTTGCCAAACAACATCAAATAGACATTTTCACTGTACAAGAAACAAAACTCAAGCCCACAACACGAACACCAACAATTGCAGGTTTCACAACTATAAGACAAGACAGAACACACAAATATGGTGGCCGTGTACTAACTTACATAAAAAATAACATAACCTTTTCCCCCATTCAAATCCCACCTAACATAAACCAAGCTGCTACTGAATTTCAAATCTCTCAAGTCCACTTATCCAATAATAAGTCAATTTACATAGCCAACCTATACATTCCTCCTAGAGACACCAATCATCCATTACACAACCAAATAGATCAACTCATCACCGAATGCTTAATCCACATCACCAATAAACCAAACACAATCATCACAGGAGACATTAACGCCCACCACAACTCTTGGCACTCACCTTACAATGACCACAGAGGCATACTAATAGAAGACATCATACAGAATTCAAACCACATTATCCTCAACCAACATTCACCTACTCTTCTACAAACCACAAACAATCAACAACCTACCTCTCCTGACATTTCCACAGCCTCTGACACTATAGCAAACCACATTACCTGGACCACTCTGACAGAACTTTCATCTGACCACCTACCTATACTACTAGACTATAGAACAAAAACAAACTTCTGACTACAACATCAAACAAAAACATACACTAACTACCCCAAAGCCAACTGGGCCTCCTTTTCAACTGAAATAGAATCAGCACTAGAAAACATAGCAGACCCAGCTGACATACCTGTCGCAAACAAAACCCTCACTAACATAATACAAGCAGACAAACACAACATTCTTAAAGGCAAAATAAAAACAAAACAACCACCTATTCCAGACAACATTAGAGCTCTCATAACTCAAATAAATCAAATCAGAACCGCAAATCACACAGACCCGCAACTACTGCAGTTAAACAGAGAAATTGATAGATCCATACAAGACCATAAAACAAACATTTGGAGAGAACACTTGGAGCAACACTGAGACAACAAACACAACAGCCATATACTCTGGAAAACAATACATCAACTATCAAGCAAAACCATTCCCACTCAACCAAACAAATCCATCAGATTCCCAAATAAAATAGCACATACTTCCAAAGACAAAGTAAAATCCTTCAACAACCAATTCATAAACATAACAAAACATCAAACCTGCCCTCACTACAGAAAAATATACAGAAAAATCAAAAACTTACGAAAAGATCAGATGACCATCACAACAGATATAACCACTTCTGCAAATAAAAATAGCAAGAACAACAAATCCACGGGCCCTGATAACATTAACATTCAACACCTAAAACACCTTGGACCCAACGCAATATCATACCTTACCAAAATATACAACATAGCAATAAACAAAAACATCATCCCACGCACATGGAAACTAGCCAAGATCACACCCATACCCAAACCCAACAAAGACACATCCATAGGTTCTTCTTACAGACCAATATGACTCCTCAGTCCTATCTCCAAAACATTAGAAAAAATCATACTCAACATCATTCAACATCTCATTCCACAAATAGCTCACCAACATGGTTTCAAGGGAAATCACTCCACAGTCACAGCCCTACACTAACTTCCCCAACATATTACCCGCGGATTCAATCAGAAACAACCACCTTCACGAACCATTACAATAGCACTAGACATGTCCAAAGCATTCGACACAGTAAACCTACACAAGTTAATAGGCAAACTCAAAGATAGAAATTCCACCAACATCAACGAAATACATATCCAATTACATAAAAGGAATAAAAGGCTACACTTTTCAATAACACCACTTCCAAACAGGAGAATTTCAAAACAGGCATCCCACATGGGGGCGTCCTTTCACCCACTCTATTCAACATATACACCTCAGACCTCCCCACTCCACCCACAGATGTACACATGATTACCTATGCAGACGACATTACCATTTTCTCATCACACCACATTTACAAAATTGCAGAACAACGTATACAACCATTTCTGCTACAGATGTTGGGGTCTATTTAATAAATAAGCAAACAAATTCTGGTTTCCCCAAACTTTTAATACATAACTATAATAGACAAATGACGGATATGAGAATACAAATGAATAAACCGTGTATTTCCTTAGCACTTCTAACTCCGGCCTCAGGTTTCGGAGCCTTTCTGAAAATGCACGAATAAACTAATTATGGACACTAACACATCAGAATATAATGCAAACTAGGCAAAAATAAGTATAGTAACAGATTAATACAAGTAATGATAATCGTAGTCGCCTATATAAACTATTGGATATATGTAAACATGACTATCACATGAATAACTAGACATAATACCTACACGCACCTATCTCTGTGGTGGGATTCCCATACAATGACGAAATACATAGCGCATCTAAACGAAGTCACGTCAAAGGTGAATCAAAACGCTAAACGATAAATTTCAAGAGTCTTATTGCAATCCCTTACACAGATACACGACTGGACTATCAGAAAATACCTCCAACTAAAAGCATCCAAAAGTACAGCCACACTTTTCACACCTAACCCTGGTGAATACATGAAAACACTAAACCTTATCATAGACAATACCACAGTTCCCACCATCATACACTCAGAAATACTAGGAATCACATTCGACCTAAAAATTTAACTTCAATACCCACATCCATAATACACATGACAAAGCAACTAAAACAATAAAAATTCTAAAATCTCTCACATCAGCAAACTGGGGAAAACAAAGAGAAGTCCTACTCACAACCTACAAAACTATAACACAACCTATAATAGAATATGGCAGCACCATCTGGTCCCCAGCCTAGCACAAACTCACGCAAATAAACTACAAACATTCCAAAACACAGCACTCCGCATTGCATCAGGTTGTACAGCTGACACTAACCAAAGCCACCTACACACAGAAACAAAAACGCTTCCAATAGACCAGCACCTCAGACTCCATGCATCACAACTGAGACTAAAAGCTCAAGCACCGACCCACCCACTTCACACTCACACTCAACCTTACAACCTACCCAGACCTATGAAACAAACAGTTTTCACAAACAGAAACTACACCACTAACATCTTCATAGAACCAGATCAAGCCACAACAGAAACACATAACAGACGCAATAAACAAATACACACTACAATCACAACTAACTACATAGACAACCTACCAAACAATGCCGTACTTTCTGCACCAGCACCAGCCATAGACTCTTCAGAAACTCAATTATTCAGACACACACGCCGTGCACTTGCACAACTCCGACTCCGTACAAACAAGTCCCCTTACTACACTAATAGTCTAATACCTACACAAGATAGATCCAGTCACACATCCATCCGCCCTTTGCAGACTCTGTCACGAACATGTGCACAACACCAACCACCTGTTCAGCTGCTCGGAGCTGGTCACGCCCTTGCCCAGTTAAAATTTAGGGCAGGGAATAGAGCAGGCCGTCGCCCCAGTTAAAATTTAGGGCAGGGAATAGAGCAGGCCGTCGCCGGCTGCAGAGCCGGCGTAGAGACGCGACAGAGCAGCGATAGAGCAGAAATGTCCGCTTTAGAGACGATATCGCCAGCCGCGTATCAGCGCTAATTAGCTTCTGAGTACCTGCCCAGGTGTGCTCTGTCCTGCCGTCACGTACATACTCGCTCGTTTTACGCTAGAAGATCTATTTTACCTATTTAACTTTCATGCTATTGTTTAAGATACAAAATGAACTAACGTATATATAAAATGTAGGGTTAACTAAGCAACTAGAAAATTGTAGTGAATAGGTTCAACTTTTGGAGAGATGAACGTCAGTGATAGTAAAATGATAATGATAGTAGAATGATTACGTAGTATAGAATGCTAGTGGAATGTTAAGACTTTAAGACGTGAAACTTCTTATAGTTCCCTCAATATGTAACGTGTCCATGAATTTCTGATCTAACAAGATGTCACGATAATCTCAGCGTAGAATAATAATATCAAAAATAATAATAACAATAACAATTATAACAATAACAACAATAACATTAATAAAACCAATAATAAAACAATAAAATTGTACGTCTAAGAAACAACCAAAAGCCGACCATTTAAGACTTGAGACGTGCATTGCGATAATTTTGTCTCTATATCAGCCATGGCGCAGCGCAGTTTTAGGGATAGATGGCCGGTTATTGTTTCACGGCTCCATCCTGCTGAAGCGCGAATAGCCCGGCTAAACCCGGCGCCGGTCTCGGCTCAAAATTTTAACTGGGTGTCGCCCCTGGTTTTGTGGAGCTCTCCCATCGAGGCGGTAGGGCTGTTGGCGCGCTGGGGAGAGAGGTTAGGCTGGACACAAGAATGCGTGTAGGCCCCGTCCCGCATTTGTCGCGGGACCGGGAGGGCAAACAACAACAACAACAGCATTTAAAGATGGCCGCACAAATGTGCATAATGAAGAACGAAGTGGGCGTCCTTCGAACGTTAATGAAGATTTGGTGCAGAAAGTGGACGAAAAGGTGAGCGAAAACACGCTCTACAATTACATTGTCCGACTGCTTTCCTCAATATTCTCGAAGTGTTTTGTATCGCATTGTGACCGCGAACTTTAATTACCGGAAATTGTGCTAACGTTGAGCTCCAAAAATGTTGACGGATTTGCACAAAACGTTTAGGCGATGCATTGACTTTCCTTGAGCGGTGCCACAATGAAGGTGAAGATTTTTTAAAACAAATTGTTACTGGTGACGAAACATGGGTGGCCTACGTAACACCAGAATCGAAACAACAATCCATGGAATGGCGACATCCATGATGGCCCAAAAAAGTGAAGTTTAAGCAAACAATTTCTGCCCAGAAAATCATGTGCATAGTTTTTTGGGACAGAAAAGGAGTATTGCTAGTGGAATTTGTGCCTCGTAATTCCTTATTGGAATTAGAAGTTTCTGCCTCGTAATTCCTTATTGGAAGACCTTATTGTGAGACAATGAAAAATCTGCATCGTGTAATCCAGAACAAAAAGTGTGGCAAGTTGAGTAAGATAGGGGTATTGTTTTGCTGCATGACAATGCCCGTCCACATGTGGCTATTCAGACCAAAGGTCTCTTCAAATCATTTAAATGGGAAACTCTAGAATCTTGATCATCCTCCATACAGCCATGATCTGGTGCCCTGTGACTACCATCTGTTGCTGCGCTTGAAGAAACACCTGGGCGGTCGGAGTCTTCAAGACGATAACTAAGTCAAAACATTTGGGATGCAGTGGTTTACAAGTCAGACGGCAGAATTTTATCAGGAGGATATTCAAAAACTGGTGCCACGTTATGACAAGTGCCTCAATATTCACGGAAATTATGAAGAAAAGTAGATTAAGGTACAGGCTTTCATGTAAAAATAAAAAATATTGCGATATATTTGCACGTCTTTTTTTAATTTCTAAACGGTACTTTCTTAAAAAACATGCCTCGTACCTGAAAATCGTGTTACATAGTAACATACCGTGATGAATGTCTTGTGTTTGGGCGTGCTACTGACGTTTAACATCGGCTGCTCGTCTCGTTACGTGAATTTATTTATATACAATGTCAATTGATATATTTTGGTATGCATAGTCACTGCTGAAATTTATCATGCAATAATGATACAATCGTCAGATTTATTGACCGCATTACAATGTGAGTTAATGGAGAAAGTAAATCGATGATTAATAATAATAAATCTTTAATATAATGCTTTAAGATATTATTATTATAATATATTGTGCTTCTTGCCGTTGGCAGACCTGTACGAGGGGGGAGCAGATGTGCTGGCGCTGGCGTCGATGGTTAAGCTGAAGGGCGGGCGGCTGGGCAGGGAGGTGGCCGACGCCTGCCTCCAGTACTGGGGCGGCATGGGCTACACCGACGAGGTCAGGGGCAGCTATTTAACTTCATTTCATTGAACAAATGCCGCGAGGAACTGAATTATAACTTCTTTACCTTCATTTGATTCAGCAGAGGTTGTATTTTAAAAATTGCTTCATAGTTTCTAACTCAGTCAGCCAGTCACTGACGGCTTTCCAAGCTAAGCCCATCAGTGACGGATGAGAAATCGACCTCTAAGTGAACTCAGGGCGCTACGTGAGCTTAGGCAGCTACGTGAGCTTAGGTTGCTACTTTTGCTTAGGCCGCTACGTGTGTTTAGGCCGATACGTGTACTCCAGCGAATATCGATGGTACGGCCCCTGGTTTTTACCGCCGTATCTTCTGCTAGTTGGACCTGCTACCTAAGCAGTATCTTTCATCAATTTCATAGGTCATAGGTTAGGTCTAGCCTAGATGTTTAGCCTAGTTAGGTCTGAATCTATAGTTTCTTAAAGGAATGTAATGACACAGGTGCTGGAACTACATGAATCTATAGTTTATGTACGCAGTATTATAACACATGCTGGTACGATGAGCATCTATTATTGCTAAATGCAAGGCTACGTTGCAGGTGCTGGTGAGTCGTGCGTTCCGCGACATGCGTCTGGGCAGCATCGGTGGAGGCGCTGATGAGGTCATGCTGAGCATCATAGCCAAGACCATGGGCACCCTGCCGCCCTTCAGAGACTAACTTCTGTTGCTGCTGAGCATCATAGCCAAGACCATGGGCATCCTGCCGCCCTTCAGAGACTGACTTCTGTTGCTGCTGAGCATCATAGCCAAGACCATGGGCATCCTGCCGCCCTTCAGAAACTAACTTCTATTGGCATCATCTGCTTCAGTTGTTATGGTTCCTTCGTTCGTTTTGGATGCTCTGTGAATCGTCTAAGCAACAAACTTAATTACAGTGATTGTTTCTGGAGATAAATTATTTTGAAATTCGATGTTTGTCTACCGTGGACTGTTACAGGAACGATATACTGAGAGTGATGAGTGACGACGATAAGGACGAGATATAATCAATGTGCAAGATTATATTCCTCGCGTTATCAAGAAATTCTGCAACTATAACTATTATCTAAATAATCTGTAACCTTGTTCGTTAGTTTACCTTGGATATTTCGCCCACGTGATGGAAGTTGGCTTGATGTCTTGTCGGTGACGTTGAACTGGTGCTATTTATTTTATAAATACATGTAGAACTGTTTACGCGAAATATGTCAGCGATTCGTGTATGGAATTTAAAATGTAAAGTGATTGTTATAACTATTTTATATGGATATATATATTTATTTTTCTAGAAGCTTCTCCTCGATTTACTTCCACGTTGGCATCCTTTTCTCTGACCTCTGTGCTGACACCCTTTAACAATTGTTCCCTTAACCTCGCTCACAAATATTACTTTCAAATGGTCACTAGTGCAATTAGACCTCAAATCTCTCCCACCTCAAGTTACTTTTAGATTCTATTATTATCACCAGCATTAAAGATAACAAAAAAGTGCATATATACACCCCTTTTGGGTGAATAAACGCATTTGTTGGATAATTATTGAAAACTTCTCAAATCACTTGAGACCTTCCGCCTCTGGCGATTTATATTTTCAACTTTTGGCGTGAAATAGTTTGATAGTTAACCAAACTACTGTTTTAATTATTATCATCGTTATAACTACTGCTAGTAAAGTAGTTACCGTTACTTTTCCTACTACTTACTACAGCTACTGTGCTAGTACTACCTAACTACCGTTACTACTACTACTTACTACCTACGTAGCTTAGCTCATCAGATTTTGCTTCCGTGACGTCATAAAGTACGGTTAGGTTTGCGTCGTGTCTCGTAACTTGCTGCATCTTATGTTGTTTTTAAGTTTCATGTGGTGCTAATGTTGTGAAATCATGCGACCTTCAGAATTTCAGTTTTTAATAATAAATCTTGTTATTTGAGAACGTGCTTGTGCAGCGTAACAAAACAATTCCATTTAAACGTTGGATTTTGGAAATAATTGTACAGTGTTATAATAAATGCAGGAAAATGTCTAACTAATCCTTGACAAAGTAAATGGTAAACTGTTCTTTAAATAAAAGTTATTACAATATAATTCACTATGAAACGATGTGGGATAAGCATTACCTTATTGCATCACAGTCATCTGGCCGTAGCTCCACCAGTGGCATATGTTCGATCTAGCACATTATGATGCCCAGATATTGTCTGTTACAAGCTGTGTTTAATCTTTATCAGTTGGTATGTAAAAAGTTTGAATTTTTGAAGTTGTGTTTTTTTTGCTCCTCTTTGCAGAGAATGTGAAGGTTATATCGTACCTCTCAGTAGTTGATCGTAAATTTGTTTGATATCAAATTGCGCTGTATACAACCGGCCATTTAAACGATGAGCGGCAAATGCCATACTTTTTAATGACTAGAAAGTTCAATTATTAATTAATCATGAACCTACTCAAGCGCATATTATGGGCCCGGCCCCATCAATAGAAGAACATGTAAACAACTTAAACTATTGCTCTAGTGATCATTTGATACCTCCTTACACAAACTTGAATATAATCAAAACTTATGGGGGAATAGTTAAAAAGATTAAATGTGTGACATTCATTAAAGCATCAATATGAATCCAATGCATCTTACTGAATCAATTACTATTATTATGCACTGGATATCAACATTTGGTTGAGCCTTTTGTACCTCGTTGTTCTACATACATGCAATAAATAGTTATAGGCATTACATTAAAGTTAAATCTCTGGGAACTTCAATTTAAATATTATTCGAGTTACTCCACTATTCGCGTTAGTAATCATCGCAAAAAACAATCAAAATGATAAAAAAACAATTGTACAATTTTACGCAAGAACATTCACCCAGCTCAGGTGGCAGCGTAAACTGGATGTGGGATGTATTCGCGTTCAAGGCAACGTTGGTAGTTCGCGTACTTTTCCGCCTCAGCGGACGGCTACCAGCGCCGGAACGTCGCAGCCGCCGCAATAAAAACATTTCCCCTGGCCCGCAAGTCGGTCATCCCATCAGGCAGACCTGTGGCTTTATGTCCACCCAGCGTGGACCCCCCGCAAAGAAAAAGAAAGATGGCCTGCAGGGCGGCGGCCGGCGAGCACGACCTAAAGCGCTGCGCCTGCAGGCTGCAGGCTGGTTGCTCGCCTGCTGCAGGCATTGGTACTCTTTGGTCTGTTCATACTTGTGACTTGGGTCTCGGAACGTCTGGTCGAGTGGTCGTGCTGCGAGACCACAAAATTTGAATGATTAACAATATTATAAAAAAGTGGCATAGATTATAGATAGTACCTATATGAATGATGAAAGTGATATGCTTTGCTGTGCTGAAACTGCTGATAAGCTACAAATAACCTAAACGTTCTCACTCTATGCTGACATGATAAATTTTATTGTTGAGTAATGAATTTCAATGACATGGATTGCATAATCTATTTTAAATCTAAACCAGTAAAACCACAAACTCGTTAAATCCCATAAGGGCCATGACCAGAAATCTGATGCTCATTGCTCATCAGTGACAATTCAAGAAGGTGTGTTATAGTTTATACTAACAAATGCCCCCAGGCCCCAGCCTCCAGGTGTGTGTTTAGTGTCCCCAGCACCCCAGGTGTGTGGACACTGGACAGTGTGGTTAGTTCCTGCATATGTGGTTTGTGCCTCCCAGGGGGGCAGGGGCCAGGTCCCAGGTGTGTTGTTCATGTCCCCACTCCCCACTCACTCCCCAGGACCCCAAGTAGGGTAAAGTGGTAAACACACCATATTCTGACACCTTAAGGACGTAGCAAGAAATAAATGGCTATAAATAGATCACCCTATGCGCAACTCGAGTTCTGATTGGTTTACATCACTCTCAAAACACCACACTATGCGCCAGCAATGATGAAACGTCACAAACTGTTGCCATATTTATTTAAAAGCCTTTAGAATTCAAATCTACAAAATTGCTGAATTCCAACACTGTGTGTGACTAAATGCGGCAATCGGCATAGTGTGAGACTAATTCTGTCAGCGCTTTAAAACCATAATATGTAATTCCAACATCCTGTGTTAGAATTAGGACATCCTGTGTGAGCTGTGTTGGAATACGACAGTAAACGACACCCTGTGTGTCGTAATTCCAACGCCCTGTGTCGGAACAGGGGTCGCCATGGTCAGGAAGGTGCAGCGTGTACGCCGGAGGTTCGTTTTCGGATGTGCGCCAGTACGCCAGGAAAGAAAGTTGCCAATATGCTTGCTAAAA